GAATTAATCATATGTTTCGGGGAAATAGGCTCGTGGAAACAATTTTGTATTACATAAACTAATGTTGTTGGCTTAGCATAAATAGTATACCTTTGAATGTCAACGAATTGATATTTGCTAGGTAAAAACTAGAACAAAGCAAATGTATATCATTAATAAGGCAGTAAGTACGTAATAAATTCCAGCTTATTTATTTCCCAAAATGTTTTTTTTTTTTTGTTTTGGCTGCCAATTGGGTCGAAAGTCGGCTAATTAGTGTTTACAAACATTAAGGCTAATCAGCAAATAATCGGCACAGTAGGTGAGGTTGAATTAGGATGGTTTGGTCGATCTATAAATACTGAGATAGAACATTTATTACACTCTGCGACAGTCAAAATCGGGATGTGATGAAACCAACGGGAAATGTTATACCGGTCAAAAACAAGTTATACGTGTCCCGGCGTTTCGCTGGGTTACGTCTAGGAATCGATATATATATATAACTGTCATATAGCGGAAATTGTCACCTTTGGTGGTCTTTTTTTGACATAACTCGAGAACCACTAGTCTGATTTTGCTCAAACAAATTTAAAAAAATTAAAAATTACAATTCCTTTAATATGTTCATATAACGTTTTTCTATATAATCAACAGTTTTGCCGGTAAATATAAATGTATGAAGAAAAAAATATTTTTTGCCTAAAATATTAAATTTTTTTTTAGATAGTTAGGCGGCCATTAGTGCCTTTGCGTCTTCTTCAACAAGGTCGAAACTCATCAAAGAGCATAGAACTCTTTTGAACGCAGTAAGTAGTCAGCTCGATATATATTCAGTTTGGGTCCCTGGTCATCGCAACATTCCCAGGAGCGAGGCTGCTGCCGAGTTAGTCAGAGAGGGTTCAAGGTTACTTTTTAGTAAAACACAGACCTGACGTTGCGAGGCTAGAAGCAATTATTATCGGGCAATGGCAGGCTGGCGCCCACACGAGAAAGCTGAGCATCGCCTACAGTACCTTCTGTAGAATCTGCACAAATGAAAACTAGCAGGACCACTTTCTTTGCAAATGTCCAGCTTTGATGAGGAACAGGAATATCATACTAGGAGCATATGAGTTCACATCATTATCTAAGAGGACTATCTGATATAAGTCTCCACAACATGCTCATCCACACCGATTGGTTCTAACATATTCATATTATATTGAATATATCATCTGGCCTCCACGACTTAAATGGATTGAAGGATCTCAAAGTGCATTTTCCTGAAGATGCTACAATAAGATCTTCAACATCCTCGCCATCCATTTTCAAAGTCATAATCAATCGTATTTTCCCCCACAAGCATAGGAGTAAGTAACAGCAAAGATTTCTGCAATAAAGAAAAATAGTAAAAAAGCCCTCTAATGCGCAGTTGTAAACTCTTTTACCAATCCAGCAAAAATTTTTGCAACGCCATTCGGTGGACGCGACATACGCCATAATGTGAGGTACAGTGGAATTCATGAATCGTCGCAAAGTTGTTGCAAGACAGCTGATTACTTTTGTATGACAACTTTCTTGCGACACTGCCATACTATTTGAGCTGGCAATTATTGCAAAGTCAAAGACGCGAAACACATGTTTTATTTTTGTTCTCGAATATGTACTTCAAGAAAAATTATATCATTGAAGGCTACTTCGAAATATAATTGAAAAATCTCTTCTTTTTCAGCTTCGTGCGTACAATTCGGTTCGCAACTTTGCCATTTCGCCAAAAATTCAACTTTGCGACTTTTCATGAATCGCACTACTATAAGTAGTAATGCTCACATAACAATACTTAAAATATGTATACATGTTTGTTTTTATGTACAGACAAATCCGACTTCATACATAAATAAATAAGTATGTATTTTTATGCATGAATATTTGTAAAATCTAGTCAAGTTAATTCACAACGGCAAAGTCTCTGTAACATATTAAGCATGCAGCATAAAAAATACATATGTACGTGTATATGCTTACATATATGTACATAAAAACATACATGTCGCTCATTTACTTCAATAGTGTCATAACTCAAAAAAGCGAAATTCGCGGAAAACGGAATTCGCATATTAAAAATGACTAAATATATATCGTCGCTTGGCGCGCAACATCTCGTATCCGCCAAATGCAATGGCGCGTATAAGATAGCCCGAAAATCACAAAAGACCGAAGAAACTTATTTTCTTCAAAACTTTTGAATGGTTTCCTAACTAAACTTACTAAATTTGAGCTTCTACTTCAAATATGCACTATTAAATTTGTGATGTAGGGAAGCATTGAGACAGGGTAACCAAAATAATTTTTTTTCCATGCCTCTCATACGTGGAATTGCATTTGGCGTGCACGAGGTATTGCGCGCCAAGCGACGATATTTTGTTCAAGTGAGATACTTGTAATCGATACAGATATATTTAAAAGAAGAGGTAGCGGTAATTTCTGCATACTTTGCTCAATATTAGGTATCGCTCATTGGCTGGAAGAACGTCGTAATCTACATTTTGTTTTTAGTTTAATATGTTCTATAAAATATTTATGACGATATAAGTATAAGTTAGTTTTAAAGAAAAATATCACTAATTTACCGAATTGAATTTTATAATATTTTCAAAAATCTGACCGCAAACCTTTAAGCCGTTTATCACATATTTTGGATTTTTTTGACTTATGACGTTCTACCCGCAAAAAAGCCGCTTATAAAAACATGTGCACCATACTTAATTCTATAAGTGTGTTAGCAACACATTCAAAAGCTCATTCAAATGAAATGGGAGACAATCAAAGCGTCAACAGACAATGACCGATTATGTAGCGGAAAATATGTATCTCTGCAACAACAACAGCAATTGTAGTACCAATGTACATACCTACATTGATTTTCTTGTGCATTCATTCATGTACCCAAATCTGTGTACACACAAACGCTCGCAAATCCGATTTCGTGTCCCTGCACTTAAATGAGTTTTTGACAACAATCCAGTCAATGAAGACGAAGAATATATGCAGACGAAGCTGATGTCAATGCCTTTTGGTCTGTTTGTGTTTTATTTTTTTTTAGTTAGTGGATAAATATTTTCAATATATGAATAAATTAGGGATGGGTAGTTAGTACGTGGTTGAAATTTCGAACCATTCCATTATTAAATTCGATACTCAGTGGTAGAAACATATTCGATTTACTCGAACGTCGATTTGTTCAAATTTTCCACGATTTCTTTTTTAACGACTTCAAAAAGGGAGGAGGTTATCAATTCGCCGGAATTTCTTTTTATATGTCACCGCATAACTTTGGACCACGTTAACCTATTTCGATAATTCTTTCTTTAAAGGAAAGATGGTACCTCGGAGGTGGTCCCATAGTAATCTAAACATTGGATTTTGAAGGAATTAACAGTACTCTTAAATTTTTGTATGCGAATTGAAGTCGGTTTGGTATAAAACAAAACAAGGAACGAAATAAAAGTGCACTACTGACAACGTATGATTTTGGGAGCTGCTCTTTTTTTGCAAATAAAAACGAAATTCGATTTTTTTTTTTTTTAATTTGTAGGCCCACAAAGTTCGATTTCAAAAATTCGCTATTTTCGAGCGAATATTCTATTCAACTTCGAACACTCCGTTTACACATCCCTAGAATGAATCCATTTGTTTCACACGAACCTACATACATAAATGTACGAGTACTTAGTTTGCGGCAACAATGAGCTTTTGATGTTGACAGTTAAAATGACAAAACTACCCTGCAGGAAATGTATTTAGCTAAAAGTTTACTTGAAGTTGATTAGAAAGGAACTAAAGGTCACTATTATCTATAAATTTTCTTTATATTTCTATGGCAATGACCGTGAAATAGTCAAGGGTGGTTATCTCTGCATTTCAAGTCAACTAACTCCTAACTAACTACTTTTGGACATAAAATATCAGTAAGAAGAACAAAATATTTTGGGTAGTTTTTTTTTTTGTTTAATTTTTTATTTATTTACTTTATTTTATTACCTTTCATATTTGTTTACATATTCTGCTGTAGGTGGTCCCATTTTCGAACTCCGTCAGATATAACTTTAAAATGATAATATAAAATGTCGATCTTCCTTTTATTTGTCCTCAAACCGTAAATGTATTTCTGAAGTTCAGAAAGAAAGTATATTCAAAGTAAATTTTTTTGTTTAGAGAAAACAATCTCCCGATTACGTCTGCATTAATCCTGCATTACTTATCAACTAGTTTCAAGTTAGCTTTCTTGTAGCCAACTACAAGTTATATATTTTATAGGAATCCCGCAAAAAAGCTAACTTCAAGTTGGTTATTTTTTACCAATTGATAATAATTTTTTTTTTTGATAATTTTTTTTTTTCACCAGGATGCATGATAACGTATACATATCTACATACATACATATGGCGATGCATAATGATTTATGTGACAATTCTTACAAAGATTGTGGTAAAGTTTATATAATATATATTATGTATAATTTAATTTTTGGTTTTAAATATAGCCCGGGAATATAGTCTACATACATACATTAGCTTTTTATGACAACAACACAATAAACATTGGGCTTGGTTAACAATTCGAAAATGATTGGAAAACGTTTTATCGAGTCTCACCTTCGATAACTATTTAGTGTGGAATAGATAAGTATTCGATTCGAGAACTAGACCATTCTCGGCCTTCGTTTTCCAATGAATTTTTTCTTGGTTATGAATTCGAAATCTAGTACTTTACCAAATTGAAATTTTAATGAGAGAGAGTGATTGTCTTATATTTCCATTTGAGAAAGAGCTGGATTTCACTTCCTCTCTTGTTACTATGGTTT